AAAACGGCTGTTTCTCAAGCCCTATAAGCTAAAGCTGGACAACTCGATGTAAATTTCAGGGGAGATGTCTCATACCTGATACATACGCCACATAAAGAATTCACCAGAATGCCTGATGTCACATCAGAGACAATCAAACTCCAAATCAGGATGAGAAGTTGTCGACTTCATGTTGTGGACAACTTTTCCCAAGACCATTGGAATAAGACTCCCCATCATAAGACTCTTACTCCTCTTAATTATTCCTTATTTATGCCTACTTCTTTACCTTGACAGGATAATGCTATACATTTTCACAATCAGTACTTCCTAGAGGTAACTTGGGACTGCCGGCTTTTATTTATTTATTTATTTATTTATTTATTTATTTATTTAGAGATGGAGTCTCACTGCCATTGCCCAAGAGGTAACTTGGGACTGCCGGCTTTTATTTATTTATTTATTTATTTATTTTATTTATTTAGAGATGGAGTCTCACTGCCATTGCCCAAGCTAGAGTACAGTGGTGTGATCTTGGCTCACTGCAACCTCTGCCTCCCAGGGACTGCTGGCTTTTATTTATTTATTTATTTATTTATTTATTTATTTAGAGATGGAGTCTCACTCCCATTGCCCAAGCTAGAGTGCAGTGGTGTGATCTTGGCTCACTGCAACCTCTGCCTCCCAGGTTCAAGCAATTCCCCTACCTCAGCCTCCCAAGTAGCTGGGATTATAGGCACGTACCACCACATCCAGCTAATTTTGTTTTTATTTTTAAGAGAGACAGGGTTTCACCATGTTGGCCAAGCTGGTCTCAAACTCCTGACCTCAAATGATCCACCCACCTTGGCCTCCCAAAATGCTGGGATTATAGGCATGAGCCACAACACCTGGCCTCTGCTTTAAGATAGTCATGGGATACTAGATTACCAACTAAACAAGGAGCAATCTGTGCAATTTATTTTTATTTTATTTTATTTTATTTTTGAGGTGAGTCTCGCTCTGTCGCCTAGCCTGGAGTAGAGTGGCACAATCTTGGCTCACGGCAACCTCCGTCTCCTGGGTTCAAGCAATTCCCCTGCCTCAGCCTCCCTAGTAGCTGCGATTACAGGCGCCTACCTCCACGCTCAGCTAAATTTTGTATTTTAGTAGAAATGGGGTTTCACCATGTTAGTTAGGGTGGTCTCAAACTCCTGACCTCAGCAATTCACCTCCCTTAGACTCCCAAAGTGTTGGGATTACAGGCATGAGCCCACTGCACCTGACCTCTGCTTTAATTTAAGATAGTCATGGGAGGCTATCTTACCAACTAATTAAACAGGGATCAATCTGTGCAACTGATATTTCTTTTTTTTTTTTTTTTTTTTTTTTTTTTTTTTTTTTAAGACGGAGTCTCCCTCTGTGTCCCAGGCTGGAGTGCAGTGGCGCCATCTCGGCTCACTGCAAGCTCCGCCTCCCGGGTTCACGCCATTCTCCTGCCTCAGCCTCCCGAGTAGCTGGGACTACAGGCACCCACCACCGCGCCCGGCTAATTTTTTGTATTTTTAGTAGAGACGGGGTTTCACCGTGATCTCGATCTCCTGACCTTGTGATCCGCCCACCTCGGCCTCCCAAAGTGCTGGGATTACAGGCGTGAGCCACCGCGCCTGGCAGCAACTGATATTTCTTGTTGCACATAAATACATTGGGTATTGTAGAGCAGATTACTTTGTTAAAACATCTAGACTCCTCATCTAGCTATTTGATTTTAGTTGGTTTGGCTCATGGGGATCCTGGCTAAGGAGAAAGCTCCAAACTCTTCATATTTTCCACCTGCTAATCACAACAGTAGTCTCCCTGGTGTACTGTATCTTCTCAAAAAGTTTTAAATGTTTCCAGAGAGACATCTGTCAAACATCAGATGGTATGTCTCTAGCTGGAACAACAAAAACTCAAACAAACTTATAATAATGGGGAGGACACAATAAGCTATAAACACATGCTGAGACTAGAAACTCAAAATGATGGCAACTGAGTAGTACTGATGACCTAAGTTTTGATTACACTCTCACCTACATAACAACCTAACCAAAAGGCAAACTGTCAAATAAAAATTACAGGAGGCCACTGTTTTGGACTAAGTTCTTGTACTATGTCCCAATGGACCAGACTAAAACTCAAAATGGAGTTACCCATACTAAAGTTTCATGCCTCCAAACCTAGACTAAGTTGTTACCCCACCTTCTAAGAGATCAGAAGAGAAGGATAACAGCTAATTTCCCAAAGAGGCCAGTTTAAATCTTCAGTGGGCATAATAATGAAGTTCCTTCTACTTCAGTCCTTGCTTCTCTACAAAAAAGGTAGGCTGAAATAACCTCATGTTAACTAATCAGTTTTTTCTATTGTTGGCCTCTCTGTCCCCACCTTACAAGAAGAGTAGCTTTGAAATGACTAATATGCTATCTGTTCTGTGCTTCTACTTTCTTTAGCCCTTCTTTGTATATAAAGCCAGCCTCTGCTGCTCAGCTCATTGGAACACTTATTCCATTTTATGGAATGATGTGTGGACCAAGTCTAGACTCGAGAATAAAGCCAATTGAGATCTTTAAACTGAAAAATAAACTTCAAGGCTGTCCCTCCCACCACACACCCAGGCCCAGAACTCTAGGAGGGCAGAATGGTTTTGGAGGACTGACCTAGGGTGCCCTCCATAGGTTTGCTGCCCAGAGCTACCTTGGGTCTCTGTTCCCTGCATTCCAGTACAGTGCTCCTCAGCCACCCCAACCGTGGTTCAAGAAGGCCCAAGTGCAACTTGACCCACTACTTGGGAAGATACAGTCATAAAACTTGGCAGCATCTACATGATGCTAACTCTGCAGGCATGCAGAGTGCAAGTTGTTCTCTGACCTTCCAAGAGATCCACCTAGATTTCAAAGGATGTTGTGGACAGCCTAGAAGCGCAGACAGAGACCCGTCAAACGGGCACAAGGAGTCCCTACTAGTGCAGTGCTGAGCAGTATAGATACCCTGGAAGGATATACAAAAAACTAATATAAGGGGCTATACCAAGAGAGAAGGCAGTATAAGTGGGGTGGATGGGGAACAGACTGGAAGATTGGAGATTATCTTTTTATATTATTTGAATTTTGAGCCATAGGAGTACTCAAGACCTGTTAGCTGTTGTTAAAAAAGAAAGCTGAAATCCTTTCCTTCTTCTCACCCCAGGCAGGAAGAAAGCTGTGCTCTAGCAGAGGCTTGGTGGGGAATGAAAGGCTGAATCTGGGGCATGAGTGTGTTAGAACACTAGGGAGCCTGGATGAGTGAAGACAAATAGCAGGACCCAAAGATATATAGGCAGTTGGGGGTCAGATTTTGGGAGTCCGCACCAGTAAATACTATACTTGTACACTTTGCTGGTAGGAAAATGGGAGTTGCTAAAGATTCATGGGCCAGAATTTTTAGGAGGATGTACAAAATGGATTGTAACTGGGAAAAGCCCAGAGGCAGGGAGGCTAGTTAGGAGGCTACCAAAGCATATACAGTTAGGAGCTAACATGGCCTGAACTAAAAAGGAGAGATTAGAATCACAGGTCCTGGCTGGGCACAGTAGCTCATGTCTGTAATCCCAGCACTTTGAGAGGCCAAGGTGGGCAGATCACTTGAGGTCAGGAGTTCGATACCAGCGTGGACAACATGTTGAAGCCCTGTCTCTCCTAAAAATACAAACATTAGCTGGGCGTGGTGGCGTGCGCCTGTAATCCCAGCTACTTAGGAGGCTGAGACAGGAGAATTGCTTGAACTCTGGAGGCAGAGTTTGCAGTGAGCCTACATCTCACCACTGCACTGTAGACCGGGTGGCAGAATGAGACTCCATCTCAAAACAGAAAAAAAAAAAAAAGAATCACAAGTCCTAGAAGGCAGGTTAGGACTGAGCAGACGACTTGGTTAGGAAAGAACGGGGGCCAATGCCAACACTGGGGTGGCACAAGTAGGAGTGTGGCACCCCTAGTTCTGGCAGCACAGGGAATCCCCTGTCCAGGCATTCACAGGCCCTCCTCCCACTCAGCCCTATGCCTCTTTAGTCTAAGCACATCTCACAGTCAACTGCCTGGGCCAGGAAAAAAAAAACAAAAAACTGGAGCCAATGTTTTGGTTAGTCCACCCAGTGCTTACTGTGTGTGCATGTGTGTATATTCACATAAGACCAACATTCGACTTCATCTGTAAAATGGGAATAAAACTATCTACTTTGTAGAAATATTGGGAAACTTAAGGGAAATAAAAGTATACAAAGGAGCACAATGTCTGTCTATAGTAGGCAAACAAAAAATATGTTATCCTTATCTTTATATTAAATTTAATCCACAACTTGTATCATCCTATAAAAGAGTAAATGTTGAAGATTTATCTATAGATATATCTATGTAGATACATATTAGGCATTTATGCATATGAAGTTTTGCCCAGTTAGGATTCCTTACAAATTTGCTTCTGTCTCAAACTTACTGGGAAGGTCATGGTGTTTCTAGCTTAAATTGTGCACAGAGAGTTGCTGCCTAGAAAACTCTGTGGACAAGAATTACTGAAATAACATGTACAAAGTGCAGAGCACAGCTCCAACAGAAACAAAATAAAACAAAAAGGTAAGCTCTCAGTTTGAGAATAGCCTCTGTTCTTTTTAAATTTAAAGATGGGCTGCTGCTGATAGTTACTAACACAAATGGCATGAGCATTATTATTTTTAATGACATTTTATCAATTAGCTCCATACTGAACACACTTAAAACATGTTTTGTTTACTATACACATTGACTTCACAAATTATCGTGCTTGAAACCCTCTGTAAGCAATCTGAATGCTTATATTAGTAATTCTGCTGGGCTTTGGTCTATCCTGTAAAAACAGTAAAGGTGGCTTAGCAGATTTTATTTTTGTTATTTTATTGATGTTATCAATATCACTCCTTAGTTGTCATAATTACTTTCTTTACTACGAGGATCAACATCATCTGGAAGGAGTTTCTAAACCAAAATACTTGACACCTGCTGTGAGGATGGTGGTTTTCCACCTGGCTTTAGGGGTTGTAGGACGACGGCTGGATAATACCATCCATCTAGCTCCCGGAAAGACTGTGGAGTGTGAATCTGAGTCAAGAAAAGGAGGCAGCAATTAACTTCTTATATTAATTAGTAAGTAATATGACCACACATTGTCTAGTGTATACTGTCTATGAGGCAGGGGCATGAGATACATATTTGCTCATCAAAATGCCTCATATCCAATATGCCTAAACGTTAACCACTGAAGACATAAAAAACAGGATTGGTTTAACAGTAGACTATTATCACAATTCTAGAACTTATAACTTCCTACTGGATTTGGTTATACATTGTACCATAATTGCACATACAAAATATCTGTCTTTCAAAATCAGTTTACAATCAGTAATGACACATTTATGCTGAAATGTAAATATTCACTTGCAAAATGGGATACATATATGCCAACACATACCCAGAAGAAATATAAAATTACTCAAGACACCAAATAAGCCTCAAAAAGTCCTTTCAAGAAGTTAGATCTTAAAACTCTATTTTTCATAAGCATAAAGGCAGGAAGAAATGACTCCTTTACAGTTACTAGAGCAATTCTAGATTTCCAGGCCTCTGGACAGATGACACAGCCATTTTAGCTATGCTCTCATTTTATCATAAAAGGGAGTTTCTCATAAATCCAGACTAATATTCCTTTCAAAATTCATAATTGTTCTTTCCCTATATTTGCCATTAAAACCTTGACTACAAAACAATTTCAGAGACAGGTCAAGGCTTGACAACCAGTGGCAATAGCATCACGGTTATGTAACTCCCTGCTAAGGCTAAATTACAGGTCAAATGTGGCTCCCTTTGAGGGAGGGCTGCAATCTCACTTGCCTTTGTGAACTAGTAATCCTGTGATCTACCAGTGAGGATTAGCATTTCCTTTCTAAATGCAGTTTGGCAAAAAGTTCTGTAGGTGCCAAACTGAAAGCCACAGGAAGGGATAACAATTTCAGACAGGATTATAGTGGGGGAAAACAACTAGCTACTAAGGCACTACAGCAAGATATACCAAAATCAAAGACACATATACCTTTTGACTTATCTTTTAGAAATTATTCCCACAAGTACACGAATATATCTATGCAAATATCTCCATTGTAACACTGTTTGGAACAGTAAAAAACTGAAAACAAACTAAATGCCAATAGAGGATCTGTCTAAAAAATTAATAGAGTATACACACTGATATAAAAGAATAAGGTAGATTTATATTCAAAAGAGCTCCATGATAAGCTAAAAATTAAAACAATTGAACTCATGGAGGTAGACAGTAGAGATGGTTATGAGAGGCTGGGAAGAGCCGTGGGGTGTTTGGTGGCAGGGGAGGAGCAGGGATGCTTAATGGGTACAAAAATATAGTTAGAGTGAATAGGATCTAATATTTGATAGCACAATAGGATGATTACCGTCAACAATAATGTATTGTACATTTTATACCAACTAAAAGAGCATAACTAGAATGTCTATAACAAATGATAAATGCTTGAAGATAATGGATATCCTATCTACGCTGCTGGGATTATTTTGCATTGTATGTATGTATCAAAACATCTCATGTACCCCATAAATATATGCACCTACTACATCATTTTAAAAAACTTTTACAGGTACACAGAAGTTGAATACAGACCAGAGTGTAAATGACTGTATAAAATTTTCAAGCATATATGCCTACTGGTATACTAGCCAACATATATATAACACTTAAATATGCTAAGGACTGTTTTAGATGCTTTTCACATATAAACACACTTAATCTACACAACAGCATTAGATAGATAGATAGATAGATAGATAGATAGATAGATAGATAGATATTTTTGAGACAGAGTCTGTCGCCCAGGCTGGAGTACAGTGGCGCCATCTCAGTTCACTGCAAGCTCCGCCTCCCGGGTTCACGCCATTCTACTGCCCCAGCCTCCTGAATAGCTGGGACTACAGGTGCCCACCACCACGTCTGGCTAATTTTTTTTGTATTTTTAGTAGAGACGGGGTTTCACCGTGTTAGCCAGGATGGTCTCAATCTCCTGACCTTGTGATCTGCTCGTCTCGGCCTACCAAAGTGCTGGGATTACAGGTGTGAGCCACCGTGCCTGGCCGCATTATAGATATTCTTATCCCTATTTTACCAATAAAAAAACACCTGGCCAAAAATTAAATGTCACAGGAAGTAAGGAATACAAATGGAACTCAAACTCAGAAGTCAGGCTCTAGAGAAGGAACTTTTACCTTTTAGAGGCATTAAAAATCATTCTGGGAGAGGAATTACTATGGAAGGTAAAGAGGGGAAGGTCTTCATTTTTCATATTGTGCATTTCTTCTTGAATTTACTGACATGTAGTACTTTTTTTCTGAAGTAGTAACGGTAGTTAACCGGGTGGTAAACTTATTCTCAGGTACTTCATTTTCTCTGTACTAAAAATTCTACTCTGTTACTGAATAAAGCTATGACGTGTTAACAACAAAAAAGAAAACTGGTTTGACTTGACCTATTTTAAATGAACAAGAAGAGAGACTAAGGCCATGTAAAAACAATGTTCATGGAGATTCCTGTAAGATTTATCGTTAGACCACCACAGCTCATGTAATTAAGATAAATCACATATATTAGCCCATTGTGTTACATTCCTTATGGCACAATAACACCTGGTCCCTCCTTTCAAAAAGCTCAAAATCATTAAAACAATTTTTAAGGTCAACAATATTAAGAAGACACACAAAAGCTGGGTGGAAGGAACAATAAGATGGTTTGATTCCTCCATGTAGACATTAACCTCTCCTAAGATACTTCTGACCGGTCTACATAAATTGCTGATGGCAAGGGAAATTACTTACACCAAAATTACATTTAAAATTTTAAAAGTAAAAGAAATGCAAAACATCATGTTGAGGTCCTTTGTCTTTTCTCTCTGTTTGTTTAAATGTTTAGAGTATAGTGCTAATAAAGTCAAGGTGAAATGTCAATCTTGCTTTGAAAAACCAATTATCTTGGCTAAAGAAACATCATTTCATAGTTAAACTGCAGCAGTTATCCCTGTGTTGGGGCCACAGAAGATGCAACAAAGTGGGCAAATCCAATGGCACTAATGAAAAAAAAAAAACCCAAAACAAATGAACCCTGTGCCCACAAATGTCTATTAACATTGGATCAGCAACTGAAAATAGGAATAACAGAAGCAGCAAACACTTACATAGCATTTATACAATCCTAGTTGGTGACCACACATCCTATTTGTTTCTTTTCACTCTGAAAAGTGTCCTGGTTTACACAATAAATTAAATGGTCACTCAACTTCAAAGTGCTTTACACATGTTACCCTGTTTCCTCCTTGAAACAACTCTACAAAGTGTGCACTATTATCTTCCTTTCACAGATGAGTTCTCTCACCTCTGCATTCACAGAAAAATATACACAATTACATTATTAGAAAGTCACAGTGCAGCTCCATTATGCTGTCATATTGTTCGTAGGCATATTAAAAATCATTATTTCAAATTGCAACAAGTATATATTCATGCATTACACTTTTCTAAGTTAAAAAAAAAAAAAGGCTACCGTCAAACCCAGCAAGCTCTATTAAATGGAAGGTAGAGCCACATTCCACCACAAACCGTTTCTCTATTTCTCATCTGTCGCTCTGGCATATCAATATATCTACTTAATGTTCTCTGTATGGCAAGCAGTGCTTCTGAAATGATTTCTATCAGGGTACTAACAATATTTAGCATCCTTTAAATTAACAGATACAAAATACAAACAGTTAACATAGTTTAAATTAACAGTGACAACATCCAAACTGTTTTTCAGTTAGCCAAAATGCTAGAGTTGGCAACAAGGGGGGAAAATGGATTTGTCACAAACTAGCTGTGTGACTGTAAGTCATTAACTTCCAAAGACCTCCACTTTTTCACTTATAACATGACAGTAGTGGTGAAAATATCCAGTCTAGTAGCTATAGCTACTCTAAAGCAGGACAGTTCCTCAAACCAAGAGCAGGAAAAAATGGCTGCTTCTTCAAGAGCTCCCAGTCCAATTGGATATGCAGACGCAGAGGAATGGATTATATGAAGGCACAGTGATACAGGTACCTCAAATTTGTAACAGACATTGGCTCTCATGTAAGCTCCATGAACAGTTACTGGTACTCCTCCAAGAGCTTTCCAGGAGGATGAATGAGATATCAAGAGCATCCACTTCTATCTTCCATGCTAACCTCGCTCTAATCCAAGCCCATATTTCTCTCATCTGGAATACTTTGTATTGGGCTCCCTGTTTTCATTCTTGCCTTTCTAGAATCCATTTTTTATGCAACTCAGATGATCTAAAAGATGAATTGGATCACTAACTCTCCTGCTTAAAATCCTCCAATCATTTCTAAATGCCCACACAGGACAATTCAGTCTCCTTTCCAAATCCTGCAAGGCTCCTCCTGAACTCCCTTTTACCTCCTTTTGCATCATACTCCTCTTGGCCCACCTGGATGCAGTCCTGTCCCTAGATCCAGCCCACTGGCTTTCCTTATTTCCTCCAAAGGGTGCAGAACTTGTTTTCACCTCAGGCCTTTGCACTAGTTGTTGTCTCTATCTGGAATACTTTCCTGGGCTCTTCATGTGGTTGAACCTGTCAGGTCTCACTGCCCTCCCCCATTACTCTCTGTCCTCATTCCACCAAGTTCATTCTCAGAACTTAATTACATTCCTTTTCAGAAATTATCTTATTTACTTATTTGATTGCACACTACGGCTTCTTTCCCCAAAGCAGGGGCCAGGGCCCGCCTGTCTAGTTTACTACAAAGTAGCCAGGACTTTGCATTGTGCCTACAAGGTATGCAATAAATACTTGCTGACTGATCACACATACCACTCATTTCAGCTTGATTTTTTCAAAAGCTGAGCTGATAAAAACCATGTTTATAGAGGATTGTCTGAAGAAGTTGTAGTTTGTCTTTCCCTTATGGTCTAGATATTCAATCAAAAAACCTTGCTTTGAACCAAGCCAGATTAGCAGAGCTACCCACTACCCACCTAAACCAAATTGTCCATTGGTTTTATTTAGACAGGGTCTAGTGCTGTTGACAGGCTGGAGTGCAGTGGTGCAATCATGGCTGGTTGCAATCTCAAACTCCTGGGCTCAAGTGACCCTCCCGCCTCAGCCTCCTGAGTAGCTGAGACTACCTACAGGTGTGTGCCACTCCACCTGGCTAATTTTTAAAAATTTTTAGTAGAGACGAGTAGCTGAGACACAGGTGCACACCACCACACACGCCTGGCTAATTTGAAAAATTTTTTAGTAGAGATGAGGTCTCGCTGTGTTGCTTAGGCTGGTTGCAAACTCCTGGGCTCAAGTGATCCTCCTGCCTTAGCCTCCCAAAGTGCTAAGATTGATTACAGGTGTGAGCTACCACACCCAGCCTCTACTGGCTTTAGAATCTTTCTAAATTGTGATTTAACCTTCTTTTACCTAGCAAGGGATGTGCTACAAAACAGCTCTGTGATCTTCAGTGCTGAAAAGAGGTTAAGGATATGACACTGGCTTTCATTTATAAGGACCTCAATGACAAACTTTTCCTCTAGTTCAAATCAGAAAAAAAAAGTGCTTTTCCTGGGCATCTAAGATTGCCTTCTTTCATGAACACTAGATCACAGAGTAGACGAGGTACTGCCTCTCGGCATGGCCTATTAGAGAAACAGGTCACTTACAGCTTGGTTAATTAATGTACTAGACTTTATCCTTCTGCATTTTGAGGATCACCCCACTTCTGACTTCCCTTTATTTTTCCTAATTTCAGTGTTCTTTTTGTCTTGTTTTCTAATCCATTTAATTTGTACATTTTCTCATTACGGTGAACTGCCTTAAATCTTTTCTAGCATAAGGCATATAAATAAAGTATTAAGGGTGACAGCAGCAATATGCATAAAATAACATGGCTAATAGGCAGAGGGTCAACTACTTCCAGGAAAGAAAAGAGGGGATTTTTGAGTTGGGTCTTGAGGAAAAAGTGGAGTGTCACCTGATAGAAAATGCAGGAAAAGGCAACCTGTGCAGATTAAGAGAGAAGGCACAGTCCACATCAAAGGAAAGTGGAAGACAGATTAGTAAAACTACTCTGACATTTAATAATATTTACTGAACATTAATTATTATGTGTTGGACTCAATGCAAAGCCCTTTACAACTTTTTGTGTTTAATCCTCAAAACAATCCGCTGACACAGATTTTATTATTATCTCCATTCAGAGACCGAAGCTGAGACAGTGTGTAAGTGGCAGGGTAGAGATTCCTGTGGACTCTAAGGATGTGGTGGGGCACTCTACTGCAGTCAGTACTTCAGAACTCATCTCCTGTCCCTATCTCCCATCTGACAAAGCCTATTGCTCCTTTGGACATCTCTATCTCAATAAATAGAAAAGTAGTGCTAACAGGCACACAGTGAAGTCAAAAACCTGGGATCATCCTAAACCCCTTCTCCCCCCATTCATTCAATACCCGAAGTTCTGACATTCTGCCTCACAAATTTCCCTCCCACCTGTCCTCTTCTCTGCATTCCCTCTTGGTCACAGTCCTCATTGTCTCTCACCAGGGCCACTGCAGAAATAGGAGACACAGGAGGCATAATAGTGAAGAGCGGGAACTCCGCAGGTGGTCTCCCTGCCTTTGACCCTCTATGACTTACTATCTGTGCGACCTTGGGCAAGCTAACCTGTGTCTGTTTCATCTGTAAAATGGGGACAACAATTAGAATATTACCTGACAGCACCATGTAAACGTTAGTAAGTGGTAAGGAAACTTAGCTCCTCACTTTCTCTTCCTCTAATCATTCTGCACATAACAGAGACAGTGTGTATGCGGTTTTTTTTTTTTTTTTGAGACAGGGTCTCACTCTGTCACCCAGACTGGAGTGCACTGATGCGATCGTGGTTCACTTCAGCCTCGACCTCCCAGGCTCAAGTGATTCTCTCTTGTCAGCCTCCCAAGTTCTGGGACCACAGGTGTGTGCCACTGTGCCAGACCAATTTTTTTGTATTTGTAGACATGGGGTCTCATTATGTTGCCCAGGCTGGTCTTGAACTTCTGAGCTCAAGAGGTCCACCTGCCTTGGCCTCCCAAAGCGCTGGGATTACAGGCGTGAGCCACTGTGCCCGGCCATGTGTGTGTGTTAATGCCAATCTGATTAGCACAACACCAATGTTAAAACTTTTAATGGCTTCCCATTGCCCTTAGAAATCTCTGGCTCATAACTTTCTAAATTCTAGCAATAACTGTCAACTTTGAGTTCTTCCAACATCTTGGGGCCTTTGTACAAGTGGCTACCAACCCAGAACACCAGTCCAACATCTATTTATTCTTCAAAAATGGGATTATCTTTTTTGGGGAAGCTTTCTCATTTCCATTGATTGGATAATCTTTGTTACATGTTCCTACAGTTATCAACCTTGTACTTCCTTGTGGTAATATTTGTCACTCTTAAAACTCATTAGTCAATGTTTCTTTCCCTTCCGACCGAAATTTTGGAGAGGGAAAAGTTCTTGCTTGTTGGTTCTGGGTTGTAATCCCAAAGCCTAGTCCAGGAAGGATAAATGTCCACTAAATAAATGAAACTGGAATGAAGCAAAGCCGAAATTCTACATGAAGTTCCTGGGTCTTTAGTAGTCTTCCACCTCCACTACTCTTTACCAGTCTGCAAATTTGGGCCTACCACTGTACTTCCCATGGCCAGGCCCTTTAATGTGGAGACCCTGGTGGTCTTCAACTCTTCAGAAGTGGCCTCTCCACAGGCATTTAGTTACTGGTCACCCTCTCCTGAAAAACACCCAAGAGCCCTAGATCTCCCCTTCCCAGATATCAAAGGACCTCCTTCCTCCCTAATCAGGTAACTTGTAGGTTCTCCCTCCAGTTGCCGATCATGCCCCTTCCCCTTTCCCCAAAGTGTCACCTTATTTCTGCTCTCACTCCATAGACCATCTCCCTTAGACAGTCCACAAACCCAGTCTTTGCCCCTCTAAATCCATTCCAGCTGACAAATCACCCTCCCCAACACACACATATACATCTTCTATCCTCCTGACCTACCGTAGATGGTTTCTCATCACTATACTGGCTCCTCCTTAGCCCCCGTAAATCTCCCAGGTACACTTCCTCATTACCTTCCGGATACCTCATCCCTCTGTATTCCTTTTATAAATAATTCCCTGCTCCCTCTCCTCACCCACAATCCACTCGCAGTTCAAGGCCTCATTGCCATCGACTCCATTGTCTGTGAGTCCTTCCCAATATGCCCCAGGACCCCTCCAGGTGTCACGCTCCGTATCCTGACATCCCTTGTAGACGAGTCCCGAAACTCCCGCTCCATCCCTGGAGCTCCCACTCCCTCCTAGTCCTCCACAAACCTTCCAGGCCCCCAGCCCCAAGCCCGGCACCACCGCCCACCATTCGCGGCTCCTGGGCCCTCACCGCGCCCCTAGACAAACCCGGACTCCCTCCGGTCCCACCCGCCCTTGCACCGCTTCTAGCCGTCTCGGCCACCCACGTGTGTTCCCAGCCCACCGACCACGCTCCCGGCACACCCTACAGCCCCGCGCTGCCTTCGGGAGAGCGGGCGGGGGAGGCCGAGGGGCTCCGAGGGGCGCTCGGCCTCTGGCGAGAGGAAGGACTCAGGGAAGCAGCCGGGGAGGCCCGGGGCTTCGGGGAGGGGTCTGGAAGGCCGAAGCGCTCGGGCGAAGCGGCCGGGGCAGGCCGAGGGGTTCCCGGAAGCGGGCTGGGAGGCCAGGGGTCTCCGGGGAGGCCGAACGGGCTGTGCAGCGGGCGCGGGTGGCGGCGAGCGGGGCCTCACCGTCAGTCACGGCTCCCATGGCGTGCGCGGCGGCGGCGGCGCAAGCTGAGGCGGCGGTTGGCGGCGGCGGAGGTCAAACTCCCACAATGCAGCCGGGTAAACAGCCATGGAGGAGGAGGCGGCGGCGCCCGCGGCCGCCTGCTCCGACGCCTGAGCCGCGCCGCGCCGCCGCCGCCGCCGCCGCGGGACCCGCGCTCCCCACGCTCCCGGTACTCCCCGGGGGCGGCCGCGGCCGGCGCGAGTTGCGGTGAGGCTAGGCGGCCGGCGGCGGCCCCGGCTGCAGGCCGGGCTCCCGCCGCCCCCCTTGCAGCCCCCGCCCGGCCCACGCCCAGAGGCCGCCCCGGAGGCCGCAGCCAGCCGCCAGGTGAGCTCGCCCGGACGCCGCCAGGGCTGCGGGGACGCGGCGGGGGCTGCGGGCCGCCCGGAGTCGGGGCCCCAGCTCCTTCTCCGGGAAGGTGACTGCGGCCCCGCCGCCCCATCCAGGGTGACGCTGCTAGGGGTGGGCTCGCTTCCCTGGGGGATGGGGAGGGTGACGGGGACGCCAGGATCCGGCAGAGCCCGGGAGAGGCGGGACTAGGGGTACAGAGGGGGCGCGTCGCTGGGGGTCCCCTCGAAGTTGGCGCCCACTCGCGCTGGGGCGGGTCTCGAACGCCGGCACTTGCGCGGGGCGCGGCCGGCAATCAGAAAAGGCCCCGGGTTCCAGGTCGCGCGGTTCCGGCCCCTGCGGCCGCCCCCTTCCTTCCTGGGCTCGGCGGGTGCGGGAAAAAGGGTGAAAGAGAAACTTGGCGACCTCCCGGAGGAGTTCGCGGAGCGACCAGGAGCGTGTGCCCATCGTCCTCACCCGGCACCCAATTCCACCACAGAGTCGGGATCTCGTCGGTGATCATGATGGGGTGCTTTTATTTATTTTTCTCTTTGATTTTCAGAAAATGTCTCTGTGACTGTCCCTGTCTTAAGGGGAAGTTGAAAGTGGGGGCGGGGGTGCTCAATGAGAAACGTTGCCTTGTGTGTAGTTGTCTGGAGCACACTGCAAATTATATGGGCATCTCTTTTCGAAATCACTTTGATTCAACTTCGATAGCTTTCTCGTAAATGGCACGTTTAGGTGGTGAGAGGTGGATGAGGAAACAGGCACCAATACAGCTGATTTGACCTCCAGTGGGATAGATACGATTAGCACCAGGATCATGTCTCAGTTGACACAGGTTTGTTATTTTATTCAGTCATATCGTTGTTTTCCAATTTTCCTGTCCCCTAAGTAGATCTTGCATCTTCATATCCGGGATGAAGAAGCTGTGTGGGATAAATTTGGTTGTTTCACTTTCCTTACTAAGTTTAGGTACATTATCCCTGTTTTCCCCCCAGTTCTTTCAAAGAGGAGAAGTTGCAGATGCAAATGTATTAAAGTGAAGTGTGTTTAACCTCTAGCAAGAAATATGTACAATTTTAGTCATATTATATGAGACCAGTGACTTCAATAATACCATTACAGTGCTCTCAAGAATTAGCGCTCAAGAATTTAACTTTTGTCACAAAGACAAAAATTACTTTATGTGAAGATTCAGAGATGTAACTTGCCCTCCCCTAGGGTGTGAAGTTTCCCTGACTTTGAAAAAATACTGACCTAAACGCTGGCTGTAGGTGCGCATCAGAGCCTGTTCATCTCCTTTGTTAGGAGACAGGGCACTCTAAGTGAAGAACTGTTTTAAATCTTAAGTACTACAAATTGTAAACTGAAATTGTCAGTTGATTGGGGTTCACAATACCAAGTTGCATTTTGGTGGGGATAGTTATTTAGAAAGTAATCGTCATGTGGTGAAATGTTCTTTTTTAAGTGTTTCTTAATCTTATAATACTGATTTTGAAACATTTCTTATATACTGATTTTAAATAGTATCTAGCTATTTAAAATAATCTTTAATATTTTCATGGGAAAGTGTCACTGTCCCCTGTAACTTAAATTTTCGTGAGATATTCTGTCAGTTATTCATAGATGGAGTGCTGTTCAAACATTTTTATAAGTTCATTTGATAACTTATAATTTTGTTGGATGATGCTAGAAATTTTCTAGAGTAATAAGATGAAGAGGAATTTGAAAGACTTTAAAGTTTGAGCTGCACCTGAAAATAAACATTCCTGAAAGTTATTTTATTTTATTTTTTTTGAGACAGGCTTCCTGTGTTGCCTAGGTTGGAGTGCAGTGGCACGATCATCAGGGCTCACTGCGGCCTGGAACTCCAGGGCTCAAGCGATCCTCCCACCTCAGCTACCAACTAGTTGGGACTACAGGCATGTTCCATGATGCCTGGCTAAGTTTTTCATTTTTATTTTTGTAGAGACATGATCTCACTATGTTGCCCAGGCTGGTCTGGAACTCCCGGGCTCAAGAGATCCTCCCGCCTCAGCCTCCCAAAGGGCTGGGATTACAGGTTTGAGCCATTGTGTCCAGCCTGAAAGTGCTTAACTCAAGTGGTGAGAAACACATAATTTGAGCCTTTATGAACTCTAAAATCTGCTTTGTCAGCTACATGATTTTACTTGCAATTGCATTCACACAGATCTATTTGTTGAACATTTAAGAATTGTCTTTTCATCATATTGTATATCTTGTGTATATGAGAGAACATCTTTTAGTAAACATTAGGAGTGGTCTTCTTTTTACATATTAACCTGTTGATGAATGTTAAAGTGGCAAAGACTCAAGTCCTTACCCTTCTAATGTTTCTTCTTTTCAAGGAAGATCTTTATGGGCAGAAACACAGAAATGGAAGTAGCAGATTTTAAGAAAACTGATTCAGACTTTGAACTTGTATGATCTTATATTTATTGATTTATTCGAGTCATAAGATTTCTGTTTTTTTTTTTTTTAGAATATGAAAGACTAGTTAAGAAAAATTTGTGTGTTTATTTGATATTTACTTTCTGAAAATATAAAAAATGATGAGAGAGCTAGCTATATGGTCTTCATTCTGGGCCCGTGAAATAATGTAAGGATTTTTGTAATATGCTTTTAGAACAAGGGTTATCCTGGGGGTCTGTGACCCTCCAAGCATCGGTTTCAGGGGATTCCTGAACTCCCTGTAGTTGTGACCAAAACTTTTTGTATATGTGTATTTTTCTGGAAGAGGGTCTGTAGTTGTTTTAGAAAAGAGATCCAGGACTTAAAAAAAAATTAGAGACACATCTTTTTATTGAATAAAATGGAAGTTAGAAATCTTTTCTTTTTTCTTTTTTCCTTTTTCCTTTGAAACAGGGTCTCACTTTGTTGCCCAGTCTAGAGTGCAATTGCATGAACATGGCTCACTGCATCCTTGACCTCCTGGGCTCAAGTGATCCTCCTGCCACAGCCTCCCAAAGTGCTGGGATTACAACAGGCATGAGCCATCACAGAATGACCATTTTAAAGAGAGAAAAACATTTTTGAAAAGTAGATCTATGTGCTCATTACTTGCCTTTTAAAGTTATCTTCAGGCTGGGCACAGTGCCTTACACCTGTAATCCCAGCACTTTGGGGGGCCGAGGCGGGTGGATCATTTGAGGTCAGGAATTCAAGAGCAGCCTGGCCAACATGGTGAAACCCCATCTCTACCAAAAATACAAAAAAAATTATCCGGGCGTGGTGGCATGTGCCTGTAATCACAGCTACTCAGGAGGCTGAGGAAGGAGAATCACTTGAACCTAGGAGGCCGAGGTTTCAGTGAGCTGAGATCACGCCACTACACTCTAGCCTGGGCGACAGAGTAAGACACTGAAATAAATAAATAAATAAATAAATAACGTTGTCTTCAGACTTAGAGGCACTTCCATTTTATTCCCACAGCAAAGCACTGCCTATCAGTTGATAAGCCATCCTGGTCTGACATGCTAGTCCTCCATGCACTGTGGCTGTATTTTTAAAAAATTATATCCAAAAATTCAGACCAGATAGTTTGATGGTAGATAAGCAAAGATTTGATCTTTACACCAGCCCTTGGAGTAAATGGGGTAAATGGGTCTTTCAGCTCCACTCTCTTCTTTCCAGAAAATGTGAAATTTGACTCAGAGGGAATCATTCTAAGAAAATGTGTTTGTGCCTTGGCAGGACAGTAGAACATGATTAGGAAAACACAGTTTGAGTCAAAATAGACTTAAAATTCAAATTTGGTTTCCTTTATTCACTCTAGCTACTTACCCTGCTTAACTCTTCAGTTACTCATCTGGATATGGCTAACTAGTACAGTTGTCGCAAGGCTGGCTAGAAGTTTCCTGTATAAAAATCTTAGCTCCTCTTTGGCCCACAAGAAGGACTTATAAGCCAGATTTGGGGAACCAGTAATAAACATCTGAGGAAACATGTATATTAATGGTATAGGATAACAAGTATATTATTTCCAAATTGGTGTGATGAAGATATTAACACTTAAAACATTTTTTTTTTTTTTAAGAAAAAGATTTTCAAAAATGAGTTAGGATTGAGTCATCCCCAAATGTAGATATTTAGAGGAAAGTGGAAAATGATGGTTTATTTAGCAGAGCGGAGGACATGGATGCTGCTGGGCAGGAAGAAACAATAGCCACCCACCAGCATTGTATTTCTTTCTGTGGGCAAAATTCCATTTAACATTTTCTCTTCACTTATAATCTGAATTAAAAAATTAAAATACTGCACATGTGCTTTATAGTCCATCACTCCTAAAAGTGCTTCACCACTCCTTTCGTTTTGAGACCTTCACAGGTAACCCAAGGAGTTCGTGGGTGGAAGTTACATTTATCGCTTTAGTTCTTTAGTTGTCTAATTCTGCTGGCATTTAACCCAAGGAGTTCATGGGTAGAAGTTACATTTATCGCTTTAGTTGTCTAATTCTGCCATCTTTAAAATGCCTTCATAGTTGGGTACATGTGTTGATTTTTCTCAATAGGAAAGGGTCTGGCAGTACTGAATCATATTTTACTTTAAATGCTGAAGTAAGAGAGGGCATTATGAGTCAAAAGAAAGTGTGAGATATATAAATAAAATACTGTATAATGCTTATGGCCATAAAAATAAACTTGCTTCTACTATTTCTATAGTTTTTCCCTTTCCTGTCATTTATTTGTGGCGATCATTTATGCCTTCTTCCCTTAGGTTGGGAAATGGTTATGATCACAGGCTTTAGACTTTGAATATGGCCTTGATTCTCATTTCCTGAGCTCTCTGGTTGTGTTTAACTTGGTCCAGTCTACTTCTCTGAGTCTAGAGGAGATGACCATTAAATGGGATAATAAATGCAAAAAAATTTGCTTAGTCCTAGGCCCCTAGTAAGTACTCAGAAAGTGGTAGCCATTTTGAAGATAGTTACATTCTCATCTTTGGAAGGAGATATCATACTTTTTTTTTTTTTTTTTTTGAGACGGAGGTTCATTGTTGCCAAGGCTGGAGTGCAGTGGCATGATCTTGGCTCACTGCAACCTCCGCCTCCCAGGGTTCAAGCTATTCTCGTGCGTAAGCCTCCCGAGTAGCTGGGATTATAGGCATGTGCCACTATGCTCAGCTCATTTTTGTATTTTTAGTAGAGATGGGGTTTCACCATGCTGGCCAGGCTGATCTCGAGCTCCTGACCTCAGGTGATCCACCTGCCTCGGCCTCCCAAAGTGCTGGCATTACAGCCGTGAAGTACCGCATCCGGCTAGAGATATTACACATCCTTTTAAAGAGAATACCTTTATTCATCCTGGTTCCCACTTAAACCTTCTGGAACCATCTTACTTTCAACTCAGAAAAACCTTTTACATTTTCTTGTTATCATAGGCAGGTATCCCAACATCTTGACAACCTATTGGACTTTTCCATTGTTTTTAGCTAATGGGGTTGCATTCTCTATTGGCCTGGCAGGTTATATCAAAATCTTGGATATGTCAGGGGCCAAACCAACAAGCCTGCACAGGTTTGGAGCTGTGATCCATTAAAAAACTATGTGATTTTATAGCCTGGAACAGAGGTCAGCACATTTTCTCTAAAGGACCATATAGTAAATATTTTTTACTTTGCCAGCCATCCAGGTTTCTACACCTACTCAACTCTGCCATGATAGCAGGAAAATGGTCATAGATATAAATGAATGGGTGTGACTGTGTTCCAAGAAATGTTTATGGACACTGACATTTGAATTTAATACAATTTTTATATGTCACATCATATTTTATTTTTTTCACTCATTTAAAAATGTAAAAGTCATTCTTAGCTCCT